TAACTCCTAGAAGTTAATAATAATTTAAAGACTATGTATGCAGAAACCTAAGAAAGGTATAAAGAAAAAGATAGCCAGGTAAATTAGTGCACAAATACTATTATTTAGCTACAAAGTGAAGTGAAAGTTTTAAATGATTAGCTTAAATAAACAGAAGATAAGTTAAAAGAAACCAATTAAGCATATCAAATAGAGATAAGTTCTCTCAAGTTAGGTACTGAAAAAAATTAGCTATAGAGAATTCAAGAATACAATTTCGAAGACGTTTTATTGGCTAATATTGTAATTAATTTATTTGATGAATAAATAAGTTATTAATTGAATATTAATTTAATTTTTACTAAAATGCAGGGAGTTGATACATCTGACTTATGTTAAAAATAGTCTTTTGGAACTGACACATGTGATTTAGTTGAAAAATAAGATAAATGCATAAATGTAAATATATAAAAGCAAATGAAATATTAGTCAACTCAAACAGTTTGCACTACAGAAAGTAAAGCACAGCAAGTTAATATAAGGACCATCATAAATGAAAATAAGGTAAATATTATTTTTTTGAACAATAAATTAGAAAATGTCAATGCTTTAATTTAAATCCATCTAATAATATAATTTGCTAACAATATTTATAATGTTATTCGTTTTGCTTTTTAATATTTGTGAATTGATAATTACAACTAAAAAAATTTAATTAAGAACTTTGTTTTTTATAAAAAAACAAGAAAACATTTTTTTAAATTAATTTTTGGATAAATTTAATCATAAAATATAACAAAATAACTTAGGTTCTTACGATTGAAGAGCAGCACTATTTTAGCAAAATAGAATAATTACAATTTACTGATTTGATTAAAGAATACAGAGTCTTGAAACTTATAGATACTAACATTTTAGAGAGAGATGACTATGGAAAGTTAATGGTGGAATAAGAATTTAAAAGAGTAAAAAAAGAAATAAAAAATATGATTAATCTGACTTTCCTGAAAGAAGATATGACTAAAAAGACTACAA